TCTCATCTCTCTCACTCTCCTCGCCCTCTCCCTCTCCTCTCGCCTCTCTCTCTCCTCTCCGGGTGTGGGTGAACCGTTTAGCCTCTCTCCCTCATCCCTCACTCCCCGTCTTTCTTTTTTTCCCCCCTTCTTTTTGTCTTTCCTTTCTTCCTCCTCTCTCTTCTTTATTTTTATATATACATTTTAAAAGTCAGAAGTGGGCCAATTAAATCTTTCGTGGCAGCATAAGAGCAGGGAGGTGGGTATTGAGTTTGATTTTATTTATTAATGCTTGTTTATGTATATTAAAGACTACACACAGTACAAACAAAGCGGGGTTATGGTGTTTTTTTTGTGTTATATATATCTATCATTATCACTCATCTAGTTCCATCTATTAGATTTTAAACAAAATATGTGATATGTGATGTATCTGTGTATGTATTACGGTATGTAGTGTGTATTTGGAATAGCATAGGTTAGATAGAGTGATTATGGATAGATAGATAGAGATGAAAGATAGATAAAAAGATAACAGATTAGATAGATAGATTAGACAGACATATGTATTTGTACACGACCACACACGGCCACAGCACACACACACACACACACACACACACACACACACACGAACACAACACACGATACACACACACACACCACACACATATATATATATATATAGTATATATATATAGAATATATAATATTTATATATGGTTATATATATAGAGAGAGAGAGATGAGAGAGAGCGAGAGAGAGAGGAGAGTAGGAGGAGAGAAGAGAGAGAGATGGAGGAGGGGGAGCGGAGAAGGAGGAGAGAGAAAAGAGGAAAGAGAGAAAGAGGAGAGAGGAGAGAGAGTGAGACGAGAGGAAGAAGAGAGAGCGAGGGAGGAGAAGAGAAAGGAGGAGAGAGAGAGAGAGAGAGAGAGAGAGAGAGAGAGAGAGAGAGAGAGAGAGAGGAGAGAGAGAGAGAGAGAGGGAGAGAGAGAGAGAGAGAGAGAGAGAGAGAGGGAGGAGAGAGGAGAGAGAGAGAGAGAAGAGAGAGAGAGAGGGAGGAAGAAGAGAGAAAGATGAAGAGAGAGAGAGAGAGAGAGAGAGAGAGGTTGCATTAATATCTACATTTTTGCATATGTGTGCGTACGTGCATTATTTTATGTCTGTGTTTGTGTAGCTTTGAATGTGCGTGTGTGTGTTTGTGTGCATACATACATAATGTAAGGATATACGAGATTGTAAGTCATTAGTTTAGGATTCGCAAAGAAAGCCAAACACAGGGAATCGGACATTGAACTTAAACAAATAAGACAAACAAAGACAAAGAAAGGTTATGATGAATCCTCACAACCCGGAGTATTGTTAATGTACCAAAAAAATAGATTACTAAGCAAAAGAAAACAAGGATTTCGAAAAATAAAAAAAAAGAAAGAAAAAAAAATCGAAAAATCCGAAAAAAAAGTTTTTGATCGAAGAACAAACTCCTCTTCCAAAAAAAAAAAAAAAAAAAAAAAAAAAAAAAAAAAATTCTTGTACCCTGCTAGCATTCCATCTTCTGCCTCCCACATTCAGATCACATTTCAAAGCAATCAAAACCGCAGTGCATCCAAATAACTAATATTCAATCGACCGAACATTATACATGCGAATCTGACTCCTCTTAAGCCAACAACATCACCTGCAAACTTTTTTTTTTTTTTTTATATACCTGTGTCTAACGAGTAAATTATCCATCCTGGCTGCCGAGCCGATTTGCATTTAAATCGCCTATCCTTCTGTCCATCTCTGCTAACCGTTCATCAGCCGAGCATCAGGTTCCTCAAAGCAAGATTTCTCTCGCAATGGGATTCCTTCCCTCCGTTGACATCTCGAATCTCTTCCCATTAAGACAAACAAAGACAAAGAAAGGTTATGATGAATCCTCACAACCCGGATGTATTGTTAATGTGAAAAAAAGATTACTAAAGAAAAAAAAAGGGTTTCGAAAAATCAAAAAAGAAAGAAAGAAAAAAAATAATCGAAAAATCCGAAAAAAATCGCATATCCTTCTGTTCTCTCGCAATGGTTCCTTCCCTCCGTTGACATCTCGCCTCGGGTTCCTCTTCCCATTAAGACGGAAGTTTGGCAGCTGGACGTCCGAGCGAGGCATTCCCATTAAGACGACATAATAGGGGATACGTTACGACCTCAGAGCCATCAGATCGCCGAGGCCGCACGAGGCTATGTTTACTGATTAATCTTGACTGATTAACAAGTCCGACGAAAGCGCAGTCCACGAGCGTCGTTCAGAAGCCGTAAGATTGAGAAATTCTTACCCCACGAAACGTCTTTCTTGAGGTTCTCGCCGTCTCACGCGCGTATCGGGGTGGGGGTGGGGTGGGGAGGACTGCATTATTCCTGTCGAGAGGGTTCTGTTAATGTGTATTTATCCGGCTGATTTATAGCCCCAGCGTCCCAAAAGGCTTAATTTCGATAATGAATATCGTTATAAGAACAATGAAGGGGCTATTCTTTATACACGAGACACCATTAACCTTCCTCTTCGGGATAAGAAGCCATCTGCCCCAAGTGATACCCAGTCGACACTTTAATTGCTGCCAGATCTTCCACAAATCATCGTCTGCTCTCTCCCACGTGTTATTTGCTGGATATTAATAGGCCAGAGTGTCTGACGTTTGACCCAGAAGGTTTGGCGGTGGGGCCTGATTGGCAACGATGATGCAGGTCATTTACCCTTGGTCCTGATGATGGCAGGAAGGAGCAGCCCCCGAAAGAGTCATGGCCAATGAATCTAAAATCAAAAGTTAATAATATCACAAAGGTACGCAGATAGATTTGAATACATGGAAAGAGAACAGACACGTACTACGTATACACACAAACGAGTCAACAGATAAGCGATCACTGTCTGTCTGTCTGTCTATCTACCTCCCTGCTTCCCTCCTTCCCCTCCCCCTTCCCCCATCCCCTCCCCCCTTTCACGCTGCACAAGCAACCCCATACATCCACCTCGCGACGTCCCCCTCCCACGCGTACAAGCACAAACCCCCACACATGCCATCCACCACCAGATGAAGATGACCCCTTCTCGAGACAGACAGACAGACAGACACCCACGGGATCCCTCCGATCTACATATCTCTCCTCGGCAGTATAATAATAATAAGACGTCTTAAATGACCTTGAAACCGAAGTCGGGAGGCGCGAGACTTTATGGCTGCTATAAATGAACTTCTTTTCTTTAGCGCTCGTCTTGGGGGTCTCTCTGGCTCGTCTCGGCTGCGTCTTGCGAGGTTTTCTCTTTCGTTAGTCGTTTTTCCCTCTGGGTGACTTTTTTCTCCTTTCGTTAGTGGTGTGGCTTTGTCTTTTTCTTGTCTTCTCTCTCTTCGTTTAGTGTCTGGTTTTCTTTTTTCCCTTTCTTTCGTAATATTTTTTTTCCCTTTCGTTATATTATTTTTTCTTTCCTCTTCTTTCGTGAATTATCAGATTGACTTTTCTCTTCCTTTCGTTAAATGTCTTGTTATTTGATCGTCATTTTTCATCTATTTCGCAAATTGTCTGATTTATAAAACCTTTCGTGAATTATCTGATTGTCTTTCTCTCGTCATTTGTCTTGCTGTCTGATTGGCTTTTTCCTCTTTTCGTTAATTATCTGAATTTTCACTTCTTTCGTGAATTATCTAATTGACTTCTCCTTCCTTTAGCTGATTATTCAATTGTCTCCATGTCTCTTTCCTTCTTTCGTTCACTATCTCATTAATTGTCTGAATTTTCACTCTTTTCGAGAATTATCTAATTAACTTGTCCTTCCTTTAGCTGATTAATTAAATTGTCTCCATGTCTCTTTGTCTCTTTCCTTCTTCTGTTCACTATCTCCTTTTCTGTTGGTCTTCTTCCTCCCTTTCTGATCTTCAGCTGGATGGGGATTCTGTGTAGAGTGCTTGATTTACTTTTGTTTTTCTTTCTCATGTCCTTTATTTCCTTCGTGTGTGAATTTTCGTTTTAATTTAGATCACCACTTTTCTTTATTCTACTCTCCCTCTTTCTTCTCTCTCTCTCTCCTTCCTTCCTTCCCTTCCCATCCCATCTACTCCCCCTCCCCCAACCTTCCACTTTATATTGGACCCAGACCCTTTTTTATCTTACCCATTCAGCCACTTTCCACCTCCACTCTCACTCTCATTACCTCCCCCTTTCTTCCTCCTCCACCATCCCCTACCCCTCCACCTTCCCCTCCACCCTCCCCTCCTCCTCCACCATCCCCTACCCCGTAGCCTCCCTCACCCCCTCCCACCCCAGATCCTCGGCCGCACCCTCATGTGGTGGCAAGTATTAATAGCTTCCTCGTTCCCTCTCTCGTGCTGCAGCTAAACCCTTGCAACGGACGCTATCTGGACCCTGTGTTGACGCTCCGTCTGTTCTCTGGATGAAGCGCTATAACGATTTTGTTTTCCTTCGGGAGGAGAATCAGTTTATTCTATCAATTTACTTGGATTTTTTTATGGCATTGGATCGGGATCGTCTTCTTGTTTGGGTTAAAATGCTAACAATCGTTTGGTAATTCATCGGAGTCGTTTGTCTTTGTTGGTTTAACGAATGGGTAGTTTAGGGTGTCAAACAAGCAAGGGAAGTATGATAGCATTCTTTACTATTAAGCTTATATAAATAGATACATTAAAAGGGTAAAAATAAACATTCCTGTAAAATGTCTTCATTACGTGAACGAATCAATATGAAAAACCAATAACGCATCAATAAAAAATATAAGCAAAAAAAGGGTATAAATAAACAAAGAAAATAGTAAACACTTACTATTCCCTTCATTGAATAGGTACCAATCCCAAAACAAAGAGACACAACCAATCACAAAATAATAACCCCCCTCCCCCCTCCCCCCCGGTTACCTAACATCTGCAGTGAGGAGAATCCCGAACCGATTGCACGCGAGGGGAAAACAATACAACAACATCGTGATTCATAAATTCCTCGTTCGACAATTCATTCTCGGTTCGCGAAGCTCATGAATCGGGTGTCGAAGCTCCCCGTGACGAGCATGGAAGCGACCGTCGTTAAAACTCATGTCCGAGAGGTGTTCGTTGTAAAGAGTTTTGTCTCGTAGGAACTTCTCTTAAGACGTTGATTCTTGTGGTTCTTGGGGCCGGAGGGATGAAGGAAACGTCTTGGAAGGGGAGGTCGTGTCATGCGTGCGAGTGAGTGAATCTTGAGAGAGTGAATCTTCAGCGAATGAGTGAATCTTGAGAGAGTGAATCTTTGAGTGAATCTTGAGAGAGTGAATCTTCAGCGAATGAGTGAATCTTGAGAGAGTGAATCTTCAGCGAATGAGTGAATTCTTAAGAAGCGAGTGAGTGAATCTTAAGAAGCGAGTGAGTGAATGAGTGAATCTTAAGAAGCGAAGTGAGTCGAGTGAGTGAATCTTCGAGCGAGAGTCTTCAGCAGTGAGTGAATCTTAAGAAGTGAGTGTGAGTAAGCGAGTAAGTGAATCTCAAGCGAGTGTGAATCTCTTCAGATCCGAATCAAGAATCTCTCATCTTTGCCTGTGATCTCGTGGACATTTCTCATGGAGGACCAAGAAGTTCGTGTCTCAGAAGTATTTCCTGGAAGGCTGTCAAGGGTTGGTGTCAGGGGCAGGTCAAGTGTCATGCTTATCAAGATCTGTCAAGGTCATGTTGTACTCTGTCATGGTCGGGACGCTCATGCAGAGCAAATGATCTTTCCGTAGACAAAATCTAGTCACACACACACACATATATATATATTATATATAATATATATATATATATATATATATATATATTATATATACATATTTAAACACGCCCACGCATGCACATCCCACATGCATTTCTATTCGGCCCGACCCTTTATTTGGCGAGGGCAAACCCCCCTAAACGCTATGACAGCAGTTTAAGCAGCGATTAACACTCGAATTTATGTTTCCAATCGCGCTTTCCCCCCCCCCTCCCCCTCCCCCATCGCATAAAATCTCCCTTCCCCCCCCCTTCCCCCCGTGTGTCACCCGCATCCACCTGTAGCAACTCACCTGTAGCTGGCCCCGCCCTCAAGCCCATAATTAAATCAATGGCGGGCGCATCCCGAGGGCGATTGGCAGGTCCGTAGGCAAGAATAATAGAGCGTGGACTCGCCTATTTATTTTTACTGACGCTATCTGTAATGGATTGGCCGGACGGGAAGGGGGTCCAGGCCGGGGTCGTAATGAGGTCCTGACAGCTAAATGCTAACTGAATCTCAAGTGAACGAGACACCGAGTTGATGTATCTATTAGGGGGTTGGGAGGGGGGGGGGATTTTTGTTGATTTTTTTTTTTGGGGGGGGGATTTTTGTTTTTTGGGGGATTTTCGTTTTGTTGGGGATTTTGTGAATGTCGTCTGGAGTTGGGGTTTTGTATTGGAATTTGTGTTTATTTTCAAGATTGGGATTTTTCTGTAAAGTAATAATGCAATTTTAGTATTATCAGTGTATTTGGTTATCTATCTGCCTCATTATCTATCTACCTATATATATCTGCGTTTTCTTTGTATCTAAACTTACACATGTTAAATTTCGCCTTTTCTTCTATTTACAGGAACGGATCCGTCAGCCAGTGGTTGTCCGAACTCCGAACTCTGTACGAAGCCGAATGCATGAACACGTTGCAGTCGAAGTCGGTGCCGGGCGAATCCGGACGCCGCTGCCCCTCCTTCCCCTCCACCCGCGACGCCGTTCGAGCCATCCAGCGGCGGGCGCACGCGGTGTCCACGGAGTTCGCCAGACTTTGCCAGTGAGTCCTCTAATCTCTGTTCATTTCTTTAATCAATGTTAATGTTAATTTCTTTAATTTTGTTAGTTTCTTTAAGTAATGTGAAATTCATGTTGATTTCCGGTTGCCTGGAATGGGCTTCGGTGCTCCGATTGCTTGTCTGAGTTTGTGGGCAGGGGTCGTGAGTTGTTTATTCTATTTTTATCATTTTTAATCAGAGACAATCCCTTTGTAATATATTCTTTGCTTTACTGAAGACTCCGGGTTTGTGTTCGCCGTTATTCATCTAAAGGCCCTTCGTCACCGGCATCTGACTCCCTTTCCTTCCCTTCCAACAGGCGTCTGGAGTGGCTGGAGTTGACCAGGTGCCCGTGCTGCCAAGTCCCTGGTGTGCACATCAACACCTTCCTGAAGAGCACCTTACACCACGCACGTGGACGTCCGCCAGCTCGGACTGAGCCCAGTGAGACCTTTCCTCCACAGAAGGAGCAGTGACGTAGCCGGACTTCCAGCCGCACCGCGTCCTTTTTCTAAAAGTGACCCTATATCTTTTCCTTTTAGTCGTCATCATCTTCCGAGTGGCGTCCAACTAAAAGCACTTTCTCTCGGCGCCACAGTCGTCGCTGGGTCGTCAGAGCAAAGTCATCGAACAGATCTGCCAACGACTCACGGACGTGTGCGGCGACGACCACACGCGGGAGGCGGACGAGCAGGACACGACCCGACAGGTGGTGCAGGTGGTGACGGCGCTCGGCCACGCCTTCACCAAGCTGGTCGACCTCATGCTGAGCCGCGAGATCAAGGTGGGTGGAAAGGGAGCATTTGTCTTCAGCAACTGCTGAACGTCGTCAGGAAATTTATGATGATAAATACGTGCATAATCTATTGCCTTTCGTGACCCTCGCCTTCACGACCTGTCCGCGGTCCTTCGCAGGTCGTGGTGGCGGCGCTGGAGGAGCCTCGCAGCGAGAAGGAGGTGAGCAGCGCGGTGTCACACCTGACGGCGCTGGGCGTCGACGGAGGCCACATCTGCCGCCTCATCGCGCGTCTGGGCGGCGTCCGCGCCCTGCTCAGTCTCTGCCTGGAGCCGAGACTGCGGCAGGTGAGGGTGGCCAGCCTGAGGGCGCTCGCCACCGTCTGCTGCGTCGTGGAGGGCATCGTGGAGCTGGAGAAGGTGAGGATCTTTCCTTCCGCCCGTCTGCCACGTCATCCTTGTCTACACATACATACACGCATACTAATATGCGTACACACATGTATATAACAATAACCAACCGTTTCCTTCGTGTCCAGGCGGGGGGCGTGGAGGTGGTGGCGGAGGTGCTGTGCGACGAAGCGTCCCCCGAGGAGGAGCGCAGCGAGGCGGCGGGCGTGCTGGCGCAGGTCACGTCGCCCTGGGTGGAGGACAACCACCGCCTGGCGGGCCTCCACGACAACATGGACGCCATCGTCGCCGCCCTCACAGGTGAGCTTGGGCGCGAGCGGAGCTTGGCGCGCCTTAACCGGCTGATAAATGACCCGGAGTCTGCGCACTGAATCCGTATACGAAGTGAAATTTTGAGCTTATTGATTCTGGACTGGCTTGTCTGTTCGGCAAATTGTAAACTCTGGCTGTGCTTCCCTCGACAGGCCTGGCGGAGCGGACGCGGTCGGCGGAAATCTTCCTGCTGGCCTCCGCCGCCCTCGCGAACCTCACCTTCCTGGACGGCGGCTGCGTGGGCGCCATGAGAAGGGCCGGCACCGCCCGCGTCCTGCTCAGGGCCGCCCGCGGGAACCCTTCCATCTCCATCTTCACCAAAGACCAAGTGAGTGACGGAAGCTTGTTTAGTGTTTTCTTTTTTTTTTTTTTTTTCGTCAGTCGATTTTTTTCTTCTCTCCTTCAACATTCATTCTTCATCCGGGTCTCGAGGCTCACTTATCATCCCTTGTTTACAGACCATGAATATTCCCGCCATCGCTCATCGCGGTCTCTCGTATCGGGAGATCGGGAGATAAATTGCGCGGGAGATATGGCTTGGTTGATAAAACGAATCACCAGACTATTGTCCTTAGATAGATCTCCGTTTATGCAAATGAATTATTCTCAGGGAAAAAAAAGGAAGATAGAAATAAGCGAATATTATTCTATTCCCACGAGGCTGTGCCCTAACACCCCCCTTCCTCTCCCTCAGATCGCGACGGTGCTGGCCAACCTGGCGGGCTCGCGCGGGGGCGGCGAGGAGGTGGTGCCGCGGGGGCGTGTCGTCCTGCTCGCCCTCCTCAACACGCGCCCCGCCCCCTCGCACCGCCTGCCGGAGGTCGCCACGGCGGAGCGCGTCCAGCAGAAGTCCGCCATCGCTCTGTCCAGGTAAGCGGGGTCTTCAGCGCCTTCGTCTGTGGAGGGAGAGAGAGTGAGAGTGAGAGTGAGAGTGAGAGTGAGAGTGAGAGTGAGAGTGAGAGTGAGAGTGAGAGTGAAGAGAGAGTGAGAGAGAGTGAGAGTGAGAGTGAGAGAGAGTGAGAGTGAGAGTGAGAGTGAGAGAGAGAGAGAGAGAGAGAGAGAGAGAGAGAGAGAGAGAGAAGAGAGAGAAGAGAGAGAGAGCGAGAACATGACAGAAAAGAGAGAAAATAAGAAAGAATGAGAACAAGAAAAAGATAAACCGAACAACTACCCAAAAAAGACAAAGCCAGCGCATACAACCGCATACACCCTTTTGCTTCAACATCTCTTCCTCCTCCCTCCTCCAGGCTGTGCGGAGACGCCGACGTGGCGCGGAAGGTGGCCCAGCAGGGGGGAGCCGAGCGTCTGGTGCAGCTGTGCAAGGACGAGGGCGAGAGGAACCAGAGCGATGCGGTGCTGGTGGCTTGTCTGGTGAGTCTCCTTGGACGGGTTTTGGGGTCTGAGGTGGTGGGGTTTCTGGTGGATATGTGTCTTATTATTTTATGCGTACGCACATAAGCATAAGCATAAGTATAAGCATAAGCACACGCAGACACAGGCAGAGACACATACACACACACACACACACACACACACACACATACACACACACCACACACACACACACACACACACACACACACACACACACACACACACACACACACACACACACACACACACACACACACACACACACACACACACACACACACACACACACACTAAAACACACACACATCCTCAAAAAAATGACCAATTCACTCATCCAACCAATACCATTTTTCACTCCCCGTTCTAACCACGCCCCTCTCTCCTTCTCCCCCCCCTCTCCCCCCCCCCAGGCCGCTTTGAGGAAGATGGCGTCTTCCTTAGGATCAGACGAGCTCCGGGACATGGACGCGGCCGAGCTGGTGGAGCCACGTCTTCTGGATTCCTTCCTCACCTACTCCTCAAGGCAGGAGAGCTACGTCTGAAGGAGGAAGGGAGCGACGGAAGGATGGGAAGGAGAAGGAAGGAAGGAAGGAAGGAGGAAAATACGAAGGAAAAGGAATAGAAGCGAGGAAATGAAGGAAAAAGAATGAAAAAAGTGAAACGAAGGGAAGAAATAAAGAAAGAAATGGAGGGAAACGAAGGGAAACGAATAAGAGTAAGGAAATGAAGGGAAAGGAATAAAAAAGAAATGGAGGAAAACGAAGGAAAAGAAGAATAAAAGAATGGAGACGAAGGAAAAAGAATAAAAGAAAGGAAATGAAGGAAAAAGAATAAACTTAAGAAATGGAAAAAGCTTCGGAGAATGGTGGTGAAAAAAAGAAAGAATTGGAATTTCTGGGGAAAAGTGGTGAAAAATAGGATTCTTTTTCTTTTTATGAAACAATGTGGTTTTCTCTTCTCGCGTCTAAAGAGTTGCGTCTATAGGAAATGGAAGCAATTGAATGATAATTGAGAGAAGAGGAGGAAAAGAAAGAAAGAGAAAAAAAGAGAAAACAAAGAAATAAATTTTCTTTAAGACTGTTTGGAAAATGAAAAAGACTTTTCTTAAAGGATATTTACTCTCATTCTTAAACTTCGTGTCCCAAAACATAGAAGGATTAAGAATAGAGAAGTGGATAATTAGAAAAAAAGGAGACAGTATAAAATACATGAAATAGTGAAAAGGAGATTTACAGACTATACTAAAAAAAAAAAAACACGAAAAATATATGAAATATGGACAGTGAAAAGGAGATTTACAGACTATATTAAAAAACACGAATATTCAATAGATGTGTTTGACGAAAAAGGACCCAAAATACACCAGAAAATGCCTTTTATTTCTTGCACACAACTTTCGTTTGTTTTTTCTTAAGTGTGAGTGAAAGTCGTTAGTCTGAGTGATTGACAGTCGTTTGTGAAAGACCAAATTTTGTTTGAGTGAACAATAAGGTTTCTTAATCTTCTTCTTTCACCTTTCAAGTTATACGAATTTAGGTGTAAAAAAAAACAAACAAACAATTTATAGATATATATTGTTGAATTATTCTTCTTTTAAAATAAAAAGTTTTATTTGGTATTATTAAAAAAAAAATCAAATATGTGTCGAATATGACTTTGGTTATGGCATTAAGTGTCATTTTGGTATGTTTATGAATGGTTGTCTAACCCTAATCAGACATTGCTCATACCTGGGCTCTGCCTCACTAGTCACTCATTTGTACCAAAAAATCTTTTATGTATATTTGTAGATTTCCAATATTTTGTATAATTCTGTGTATAAATGAATACAGATGTTTTAAATGAAGCGAAGTTGACTTTCTTTTTGTTTCCTTCATCACACAAACAATATAGTATATATATATATATATATATATATATATATATATATATATATATAATATATATATACATATACATATGTATATCTATATATAAACACACATACATACATACATATATATATATATATATATATATATATATATATATATATATATATATATATGTATGTATATGTATGTATGCATGTATATGTTTACACACACACACACACACACACACACACACACACACACACAACACACACACACACACACACTATATATATATATATATATATATATATATATATATATATATATATATATATATATATATATTATATATACACACATATCTATGTATGTATGTACATAGATGTATAAACACACAAATATATACATATACTTGAATACTGACTTTCTGAAATGCGCTTTGCAGGGCATGGCTTTATTATGTTGAAAAAATATTTAGAGCAAGCCCGTAGAAAATAGAGAGAATAAAAGAAGAAATATGGAATAAAGCAAAATACAGAACACAAAGTATGGCATTACTGTACAATATTTGCACATATCCTTGCATTCACACACACACACACATATATTCATAGATAGACAGATAGATAAATAGATAGACAGACAGACAGATAGATATATATACATACATATATAAATATATATATTATATACATATATACATATATATATATATATATATATATATATATATATATATATATATATATATATATATATATATATATATATATATATATATATATACACACACACACACACATACGGAGAGATAATTAGATAGATACATATATAGATGGATAGATATAGATATACATACATACATACACACACACACCCTTCCCCTCCACGGCATCACCTCGCAGACCTTCCCCGACGTTACCCTCGCCTTCCCTACCTTAATTGCTCCTCTGCCGACCCACCCAGTCATCTGTTGGTACAAAACTTGCTAATGGGCTAGTTTGCACACCCACGCGGGCGGGAATGGGAGGTAGGCTGGTTACGTTCCCATGACGAACGAGGAATGAATGCAAGGAGAACAGGCAAGAAAGAGGATCATAAAGAATGGGATAACTAGAGCATTTTTAGACAATGAAATACCGTAAATTATTCGCATAAGAAATAAATCATATGCCCCTTAAGTAAACTATTCGTATAGAAAAATAAACCTTATGCCCCTAAAGTAATAGAAAAATAAACCTTATGCCCTCGTATAGAAAAATAAACCTTATGCCCCTAAAGTAAAAATAAAATAAATCAAAGGTCCCTTAAGTAAACTATTCGTACAGAAAAATAAACCATGTCCCTCAATTTAAAGAACATTGCAAACTATGGACGCCTTAAACACACTCAACTCGCAGTATGTCCTTACTAATCCTTACCAATCCTTGAACTGGCAGAAGCAGCAACACACAATCAGGGAAGTCGGCAAAGGATCCCCGAGGCTCACACTAATCCATTTCCACACGTGAAGCTTTAATGACTAACCAGAATGATATATTGAACCCTAATTAACACTGCGACGTCCGCCATTTAGCCCCAAAAAAACTTATACAATTCCAAGAAAAGAAAAACAAACACAATATATTTTTCCAAATCTATGAATGACTCCCAAACCCAACGTATAATTTCAGATCCTAACCGAATAAAGGATTAGAAAAAAAAGTGATCAATCGAAGACTTAAATGAGTAAATTAAGTCTTAAAAAAATAACTTGAAATTACCTTCAACCAAGACGTTTATGACCATACGTTATCCTGTGAGGTAAGCAAGACGGAACAGAAATCTGGAAAGAAGGTCACACGCCCTAATACTGGAGTCAGACAAGGTAACAAACACACCATCTCCATGCAAAGGCGAAAGAGTAATTATGCAATATACAGGCTTAAAGAGCAGGAGAGAGAGAGAGAGAGAGAGAGAGAGAGAGAGAGAGAGAGAGAGAGAGAGAGAGAGAGAGAGAGAGAGAGAGAGAGAGAGAGAGAGAGAGAGAGAGAGAGAGAGAGAGAGAGAGAGAGAGAGAGAGAGAGAGAGAGAGAGAGAGAGAGAGAGAGAGAGAGAGAGAGAGAGAGAGAGAGAGAGAGAGAAGAGAGAGAGAGAGAGAGACAGATAAAGAATATATTTAGAATATAGATGAAGACGAATGTGATATCCAGTCTTAAATAGCGAGAGCAAGAGCGAGAGAGAGAGAGAGAGAAAGAGAGAGAAAGAGAAAGAGAAAGAGAAAGAGAGAGAGAGAGAGAGAGAGAGAGAGAGAGAGTAGAAAGAGAAAGAGAAAGAGAGAGAGAGAGAGAGAGAGAGAGGAGTGTTAGAGCGAGGAAGAGAAAGAGAGAGACAAAGAGTAGACACAAAACATAGATGAAGTCGAAAGATGTAAAACAAAACATACATACTTAAACAGCAAACCATAATGTTTTAACTACAGCTGAAGATCCAAACATTAGATAGCGAAGACAGCTGATATTTACACCACAAAAGAAGAAGAAAGAAAAACGAATATTATGAGGATAAGTTATGATCATCAAAGGGCAACACTTGCTATCTTGAACAACAAAAAAGTGAACAAAAAAAGTGACGAACAAAGTGCTTTTGACTTTGAAATTTTCAATATTTTCTCTTCTTTGTATTGTTGCCTTTACATCTATGATAACAATGGTAACAACACTAACGATAACGAGAGGGATAGTGTAGATAATTATGATGATTATTAATTATGATAATTATAATAATTAATATAATTATGATAATAATAAAGGATAATTATGATAGTGACTTGGATGATAATGATGATAAAAACGATAATAAAGATGATAATGATAATGATGATAATACAGTAATTATAACAATAATAACAATGATAATATTGATGACAATGATAATGATAAATGAGAGAATGTAATGATGATAATGATAATAATTCTAACAGTAATAAATATGGTAAGGATAATAATGAGGATAATGATAATGATAATCATAATAATGATGATAATGATAAAGATAATCCTGATAATAATGATCATAACAAGGATGATGATAAAGATAAGAATAATGATGATAGTAACGGTGATAATGATAACAATAATTATGATAATACTTTTAATCATAATAATAACATCAAGAATAATAACGATAATGATAATGTTGATGATACTGATACTGATTATAATGATGGTAACAATGATAATGATAATAAAGATAATTATAATGATGATCACAATGACACAACTACTACTTTTACTACTGTTATAAAAATGGTAATAATAATGGTGGCAATGATGACACTGATGTTAATAACAATAATATTGATAATGATAGTAACAAAAAGGATATTGATAATGGCAATACAGCAATTGCAACTAAATAACTAAATAACAGCTATCTTTACTAACATCAGTGATAATAATAATGACAGTGATAAGGATAATGGTGATAACAATGATAATAATAATGTTGATATTGGTAACAGTAATGATAATATTAATCATAATAATAGTAATGATAATGATAATAGTAGTAGTAATGATAACAGCAATGATGATATTTATGATAGCAATAATATAATTGATCTATAAATAACCTTCATCTAACAGCTCTAAAAGAAACTGTTGATAAAAAGAATGGTAAAGATTACGATGAAAAAATTAAGAAAATAAAAGAAATTGAGAAGAAATGAAAAGAAAAGAAATTGACCCAAATAACAGAATGAAAGGATTCCAGTTCAGGATAAAAATGGCTAGTCTGTGTCCAGTATAAATGTGTCATTTGTTA